TTTTTTATTAATCAATAAGACATTAAAAAAAAAGAAAAGAAAATCTTACAGTTCATTTTTTTGTTTTTCAGAAAGAACCATGTTGAGTAGTGACACATAGGCACTTAATATATTATATAATCGTCAAAGAATTATATTTAAGACATGACCTTAATACTTTGATAAGATATTGTCATCATCTAAAGAATAAAAGAAAAAGAAAAGGACGCAAATATAATGTTAGTAATATGATCGTTCAATCATTATAATATATCTTCAACTGTTTTTTTTTTGCATTTATTCATTTTCCCCATTAACTACGGTGTGTAAATAATATATAGTAGTTACAGCAAAAAGAAGAAGAAGAAGAAGAAGAAGAAGAAGAACAAGTTCCAGTTAATTACATACAAATATAAAAGAATGAGAAAAAATTATTGTAGATACAATCACTGTTTAATATAAGAGATTCTGAAAAAAAGAAAAATACTTGTTCATACTACAATAACATTCTGTTCGGAATATTCTGGTGGTGGTTCATCACTTGTTGGTATTGTTGATATTGAAGCCGGTAAAGAACGTTCAATGAACAAAGGTTCTTCACGTCGTGACCAATCATCCATTAATCTAATTAAATATAATAACAGAAATATAAATAAAGATCTTTTTTTATTTTAACTTCTCAAGGATACAAAATATCCATATACATACATACAGAGTTTTGAATCCACTCATTATTAATTTATCAATGCACTTTTATGATTTCCACTAATGAGGGAACCTCTTCAAATACTCATTTTCCTAGTTCAATAAATTTTTTTATTGCCTGTAGATACTACATAATGATCCTTTTATGTAAACTAATATAATTGAGTTCTCTATATGCATAAAGTTTGACACCAATGAAAAGGTTTCCTCATAAGTATGTAAATAATGAACTCCGAACATCTTTATTACTTGATACTACATAAGATAAAATTATTTTAAAATTCATCCTTTTTTAAAAAAGAAAAACATTCAACTGTGTTTTATTTTAAAGATCTTTAGATAAGAAGTCAGCAGAATAGTTGTTTACCTGAATCATGTCTTAAACTATAGATGTGAAGCACCTCTCAAAACAAAACGGAACATCATCTTCGTGCACGTCTTTTTTTAAACATTTTGTAGTCATAATAAGTTTTAAATGTTCAACGCTATTCTCTTTGTATCACTGAATCAAAAACAACTGCTATCACAATCGGAACTTTGTTTTTTTAGAAATACCATGAAATATCAATGAGAAATCTATATATTATCTAACGATCTCCAATATATTGTAGTACTAAGACAAATAGTCTACCTTCAATCGTTGTCTTTTCTTTTCCTACAAAGTTTTTGAAATTTTGTTTTTTTTTATATAAGTAAATCTCGTCCGAAAATGATTAATAATATACCTTTCTAAATGTTCTTCTTCAGCTGTTGGATATCGTCTTAAGAGTGCAAAAGCAGATGCTAATAATGAAAGACCGCTGGACATAACAACAAGATAATAAGCGACATCGAATTGTACTTCGACTTTTTTTCCTATTTTCGTACGAGTTTTATCTTGAATATCATAAATTAATTCCGATGCCCAAAAACATAGACCGGTTACTACTGTACAAAGAAGAACTAAACAAACCGAAAAACAAAATAAAATCATTTACGAAAACTTAAATCAAATTTATTTATTTTTTTTTGTTACCTGATAAAATATGCCAAAACGCATGACGTCTCATAAATTTTAGTCCAAATTTCATTGGTCCAAGTGCATCTAATAAAAATCCAATAGTCGAAGAAAATATCGCTAAACAAATTAATGTTATCATTAAACGAAGAATTAATATCGAACGTGTATCAACACAACCACTTAAATCTATAAGAAAAAATTTTAATTATTTGATCATGGTCTTTTTTTTTTTCAAAATATACCCATATAATCATTTGGTTTAAATTGATAAATTTCGTTCATTGGTGCTGATGGATCCCATGCAACAGGAACTCGTACAACAAATAATTTTCCAACAGCAAAAAACATACTTAAACCAATATATTTTGAATTGCATAAACCACCATTTAACCAGAACCATCGATAATCAGATAGACTTACTGCTAATGCAGCTATAGCAAACATACTACATGATGCTGAAATATAATTTCGTTCATATCGTTTTAATATTGAGGATGATGAATAAGCTCTTGTTGTTATTGGTTGAGAAACAAGATTTTGTTCTTCAACTATTGTGTGTTCGGTCGGATCATCACTATTTATTTCATCTTCAGTATTAACAAGTTGATGAGCTCGATGATGATCATTATTAGTAGTTGAGAAACGAGAAAAAAAGCATGAAAAAAATCGATTATTCGGTGACATAATTCGGTTTTTTTTTCTTAAGATGTTAACAGTGCATATTAACAACTTTTATGATGATAAACAAAATGCAAAAAAATAGAAAAAAAAAATAGATCTTAAAAATAAAATAATCATAAAAGTAACAATATAATTGAGAAATAAAATATTTGTTGTTTTGTTTCCTTAACTGACAGAATAGGTCTTCGTATGTATTTACTCCATTGTAAACTTTATTTATGTCTTTATGTACCCTCATTTTGATTGACTCTTTTTTTAATCAATCATTTTTATTGGATGATCATTTACATGAATAATATCCTTGATTGATAGAAAGAATAAACCATTCGTATTTGAACGACTTTTTATTTATTTATTTTATTTATTGGTCGAAAGATATTCACCAAAGATTTCTTTTTTGTTTTTTACAATCAAAGATGGCAGTATAATACTAGAACTTATTTAAAAATGTTTCGCCATTTATTTACAGAGAAAAATGAGGAAGTGACTAATCAGATTGTTTTTTTTTTAATTCTACCTATTTAGTATTTTTAAAAGTCGTGAAATATTGAGCAGTAAAGGAAGTAATCGATAAGATTAATCAGTTAGAATTTGATTTCACAGTTAAAAAAAAACTTAGTTACGAATATTTCATTTGTGATAGTAAACATGGAAGACGGAACCCAAATATAATCCATAAATAGTCGTTGTATGATGATGTTGTATATAGCAATTATGAGATACATCGAGAAAGAAACCTTTATTGGATGACATCCTTTCGTTAAAAGTTAAAAAGAACTATTATTGAACAAACAATCAAGTGATGCACGTTTTTTTTTCTTCTGCTTCGAGAGTAGACACAAAAGTACTTGCTTACATTCTTGTTTTGACGACATCTTCCTCTATCTATTTTAATGAGAAATGTAATTAGCAGTAATTATTGTGCTAATAAGGCACATTCATCGTCTAATTAGTAATAAATTTACTCATCTATCATCGCTATGACAAATAATAATCAATAAAACAACAGTTGGAAATATTATTATACCAGCTACGTACCAAAGTGAAATAAAGGATTGCATGTATTCGTCAAAACCTTAGTATTTTAATACTCGGTGTTTATAAACATCTCATTCATTTTTCACAGCTGCAATGTCTAATATTAACATAGCAATGTGTATTATTGAATACAAAAACAAAAATTGTTGGTCAAGTGAATTGATGAATAGTTACTGACTCTATATATCTATCGCCTAATAATCCACAATATGCTTAACTCCGATAGGAATTATTAGAATATTAATCGTATTGTCTTTCATTTAAGCGGTTGAAACATGCAGATTTTAAACATTATTTGAAGAATAGTTCAAATAGCAAAAAATATCGGTCGCATTTTCACTCATCAGTCATATGAGTAGTATGTAAATAAAAAACTGACTCATACAAAATATTTATGTCTACAAATAAATAGTCATTTCAAATCACTAATATCAATATCACAATAGTTGAAAATACATTCTCTACTATCATACTTTTTCTGATCGGCAATCATATAATATACTATACTCTTATTGATAATCAAACACATGAGCTTTCAAATATAGTTCTTCGTATCTAACATGATGACTATCATCATTCTTTATTTAGTGAATGTAGAAAAGCTACATACACGTTAAATTTAAAATAATAAGTTGAAAGTGCAATATCATCAAGACAATTGCATCGATTACTGTTTCATATTTGCTCTATTACAATCATGAACAATAACTAATGAAGATACAACCAAAACATTGTTATTAATCAATCAAAACATGTTCAATATGGTAAAGACTACGTCTTGTATGGATAAAAACTTAGATCGTATCAATATGAAAATCAATCAAATAGCTCTGAATATTAAATTACAACTACTGCCTACACTTGAATTATTACTTAATGTTTTAGTCTAATCGATGATGACAATCTTAATATTGTCGGATGGAGAGATCAACAGCAGCATACATCGCCATTTCTATGTCTCTCTTCATTTCATCGGTCGAAAAAAACTGTCAACACACGAAATAATAATTATTATTCAAAGATGAGCATTTCCATAAGTACTATGTTTTCTAAATGGAGGGTAGATGCCATATATTTTTTTTCTGTTCTCAACAATAAAACAGTTTTGTCAATCAGGCTTCTAGACAAAATGATCAGAAACAAGTAGACAAAGTTTTTGCAGAATGATTATGGCAGATTTTTAAGAAAATATCCTGATGCAATGTAAAAATATCTCTCTGTTAAAAGAACAACTCTCTTTGATTCTTTTCTGTCAGAACGTTCGTCATAAAATGAATGTCTCTAATTTTTGTATTTACAGAAGTTGATAATCTGTGAAATGCATATCGAATAGCTCAATTTAGTATTTTGTTTGAACAGCTTGTAATGGGCTCAGTCAAACAATTCGAACAATTGCTATTTATTGACCGCCAGTACAGAGTAGAAGATTTAGGAAATTTACAATCATACATCATTGAAAATACAATCATCATTGTTGATTGTAATGTACCCATGAAAGAGATAGAAGTTTGAAAAGGATGTGTAGAATAAAAACAATCGCTATTACATTCCATCAATGTCACATTCTACTAAACATTCGAAAAGAAACATTGATTTAATGTTTACAAATGTAGAAGATGCACGAGAAGAGATTGTGAAGACTGGCACTAGTGATCTCTCATCAGTAATGATTATTTGTGAAAATGTTGGTTTTGATAAGAATAAAATGTTTTTTAATGTGAGTTGGAAACTGTATGAAACTATTCTCATGTTCTTAAAAGATTTTTGGATGAAGGAAACGAATAGAGAGAACAATATCGATAAATAGTATGTGAATTACGTAGGCTTTTTTGTTGCTTTAAAACAACGACTTATACAATGGAAAGAAAAAGAAAAAATTCTCAGTAGTACTGCTTCTGTACATGATCAGAGCATTGCAATAGTACAACCTTCACTATCCATGTTCTCAGTAACCGCACCCGACGCTGTCTGTAATGACTATTTTATTCAAGGATCAATATTATTTTTATCTGTGTACAAGAGTAAAATATGTCTCGAACGATCATTGTCACATCCTCTACTCATAGTTGCAGTTTGAATACAACTCAATACGGTTGTGAGATCAAGTAGAATATCCAAAACTTTAATTTTATGTTTACCAAAATAAGCAAAGGAAAGATACTTTCTTTGTCATCATCAAGACTATTCAATGTTATGAACAAATAGCTTTGACAGAATTATATAAGTTGTTTCATACGCTGTTTCAATACTTAATTGAGAAAACACAAGTATTCCGATGTTTGGAAATCAGTTGCGATAGTTACATTGAGAAAATTAAAATTAGGAGTATGTCGTTGTGATTAGATACGTTATTTAACTCGGTCAATGGTTTTTTAGTAATATACTTAATTAAGATTTATTTCATAAGAGTAAAAAGAATGAGTCTTTTGGACATTTCTTTAGTGGTATAACCAGAAGATCTTGGGTGGTAGGACAATGCTCCATTATCTTGAAGAAAATTCATGCAATATAGCGTCAATAAGGATAATTATTATAGTCTTTTTTCTTCTGCTGGTAGAGCAGTGGCGAGCCTAGCACATCCCTGATTACGCCACTACATTTCTTTCGAATGAAACAAGTGTAACATATGCATGCAAGGCATCAATCACTGCTTCTTTTGTGCGTTGACTATTTATCCATGTAAAACTAGGCGCGCTTGTGTTTGTTATTCTCTCTCTCTCTTCTCTTTACTGTAACCGCTTTTTTTTCGTTCGTTTGTCTTCTTTCCAGTTTTTCCTTGTTTCATTCCTAAGTTGCATATTCTCATCATATTTTATTCACCAGTCATGCTATATTGTAAATCAATTTTTTTTCGTTTGTCTATGATTCTGTATGCACTATAACAATATGCAGTCGTATAATCAAACAGTTATGAACGCTGATGATATTCATCGTATGCACTTCCAAATTTAATAATAGAGAGGATAAAATAAAAAGAAAAAACTTTAGGTGCTTTATATTAACAATGAACAGAAGGACGACTGAATACCATTTTATGATCAGGCCTTTTCATAATACAAAATGTCAATCATGAACGAAAAACCAACTGTAAGATAAAACAGAACAGACGAATATATATTGGGTGATTGATATTTTGTGGGTAGAGCCCATCGGGTGCAAAAAGTTTTAGACCCGGACCTGCTCGAAACAAAATCTTCAGACCCGGACCATACCAGGATCCGCCGGGTCCGGATAGGACCCGATGGGCTCTACTGGTGGCTAGAGCTCTGCAGGGTATAGATAACCTGCCCTGCCCTGACAGGACAGGGCAGTGCCAGATTATGAAAATTTTTACAGGGAAGGCTGCAGGGTACGAGTATCGTGGCCTCCCATGTAAAAAATTTGGATTAAGAATCAGATTAAAAATCGATTATAATGGCACTATTATAATCTGATTTTAATCAGATTTTTCAGCTTTAAAAGACAGATTTTATTTGATGTTGATTTTTTTAAAATCTATTTTAATCGATTATTATAGTCATTGTAGGTAATTGGTTAAAATAGATTAAAAGAAAATCAAAATCAAATAAAATCTGTCTTTTAAAGCTGAAAAATCTGATTAAAATCAGATTATAATAGTGCCATTAAAATCGATTTTTAATCTGATTCTTAATTCAATTGTTTTCACATGGGCTGTCAATCTGTGACGATTTTTATGCGCTAGATATTGTCAACATCTTTTCTAAATTTATACATTAAGAAAAAAAATAGAAGTGAAAGTGAACTGAAAAATCAATTTAGATTGGTCGCAAAGATATTTAATAGAAGCAAATATGTCGGTAATCTATCCATTATACATTATATGGTTACTCAAGTTTGCATTTAGTTTTCTTATTTTGACTTTTATCTTGATCTTTTCTTCCTTATCATCATAAACTAATCTCTCAAATATCATCATCAATATCGGTTAGATTTTTCTGCTAGTGAAATATCAACTATGTTTAATTCAAAAAAAGATACAAAACGAAAAAAGAAGTAGGTGATAGAAAAACTTAAAACTGGTGAATTTATAACTACAATAGAACCGGCATCATCATCTCATGGTTCATTTTAGGAACATGTATTACGTGTTAAACGTTTGAATAATGTATATTCACCATTTGTAAAATGTCGATTGTGTCATGAGATATTATCATATTCCATATCAAACGAAACTTCTACTAGTAGCTATCATTTTAAAAATTGTTTAGATGAATCAAATACACTAAAAAACAGCAAAACTCTTGATAGGGTGCGGGTGCGAAGAGAAGATGCATACACAGATCGGAGTATGTTTTAGTTAATCAGATCGAATATTAGAAAAAAAAAGATAGTTTTTTAATTCAGATATTGTTGATTATATTTTGGTGATTAGAAATTTTCGAGATACATAATGTTGTTGTTTTTTGCTTCATGGTTGTAACAAATCGAAATGAAATTGTATAATGAGTTAATACGAAAGTTTGGAATTTTCTTTAGTTTTAAAGAAAACAGGGCAGGGCAGAGTCAGGTTGTCAAAATAGAGTAATCTACAGCCCTCTACTGGTGGCTTGTATTAATATTTGTTTTGTTTGGTTTTATATTAAGTTGGTTTTTCTTTGCCTCACTTTATTTTCCTATTTCAATTGAACATGGATATATTGTTTTAAACGATGATGAACAAGTTTTATTAGATAATCAAACAAATTATACACGACAATATTTGAAAATAGAACAAAAAAAAATGTGTTCAAGATGTACATGATTTTTTAAGTGCATTACTTTTTTCTATTGAAACACAACATACAATTGGTTATGGTTCAAGATATATAACAACAGAATGTATGGGTGGTATACTTGTATTAACTCTTCAATCATTACTTGAATATTTATTACAAGTTATTGTCACACAAATTGTTTTTACTAAATTATCACGACCTACAGGCGAAGGTTATTTTTTTTTCTGATACTTAACAAAATAAAAGTAAATTTCATTAATTTAATTCAAAGCTGAACTAATTCTATGAATAATTTCAGAATAGATTGTAAACCATCAAGGTCTTCTAGAAATATTCCATAATGAAAGAATATTATTTTTGTTAGTTTGTTTGATTGATGATAATAAATGAATATTTTTTTGTATATTTTTAGAAAAATCCCAATTTATTATATTCAGTAATTATCCGCTCATTGCCCCACGAAATAATCAAGTACCATTAACATTTCGAATAGGTATGTCAAATAAACCATTATAAAAGAAAGATTCATTTCTTTTTCTTTTTTTTTATAGTTAACTTATCAACTTCTTAATTGATATTTGCTAGTGTTCGTTTACTAATGATTCGTCAGCGACGAACACTTGAAGGCGAAATAATTCCTCATCAAATCTATGATATGGAATTACCACACTTACGTAATGATCAATTATTTTTTCCTCAACCAACTATTGTTGAACATATTATTAATTCACGTAGTCCACTTTATGGTATACAACAATCAACATTAGAAAAATAACATTTTGAAATCATTGCTATTATTGAAGGTTCTTTTGATTATACTGGTTTTTCATGTCATTTTCGTACATCTTATTTACCTAATGAACTTTTATGGAGTTATCAATTTCCACCATGTAATTCTACATTAAGTGGATTCGATTATGAAAAATTTAATCATATACAATTGATTGATGCTCCTCAATTTTGGAATTATGAAAATGAAGAATTGAACGATATAAGAACATCTGGTAGACCCATTAGTTCGCCATATTTATATCATATGAATTTCAATAGAAAATTACAACAAGAAAATTCATTTGATGATATTCAACCATCTACTAAACGATACAATCGCTTATTCACAGCAAAATTAATACCAAATGATAATTTTAGACATATAACAACAATCAAATCAATAGATATTGATGAAGAACTAGATGAAGTAGAAACACTTTCATATAAATCAAGTTATTCATTTGTATGAAAAAAAAAATTGTATTTTAATGAAAAAAGAAAGAATTAACTTTTTTGTTACGAAAGAAAAGACGAAAGAATAGAGTATTCATATATCAAGATTATAATTTTTTTTTGCACTGTTCTATTATAATGATAGATAAGAGAACATAATTTACAATGTGTATACATGCATTTGATGTTTAGTTTATAATATAGATATATACGCAAAAAAGATAATAAGGCCTCTTATAATCTCATTCATTTTCAATATGTATTGTAAGTATGTAGAAGTATAGAATTGCATGAACAAATATATTGTTAAAGAATTTCGTCGTGAATTTCAACAGTAAAATTTCTAATTTTTTTTTTGAATCCTTCAAGGTGAACAAAATAATCGATTAATAATCTATCGTGATTATCAATCTTATCAAACTTATCCTATTGAATATCAAAAACAAGAAATCAATAAACATATTCAGATTTTACAACAATGGCTTGAAAATAATATCGGTCAGTGTCATTGATTGATAATGAAATTGGATTAATATTTGTTGTTTTTTTTTAAAGAAAAAGATTCAATTAATGATGAAACAGGTTAGTTGATTATTTTATGATAAGAATTCTTTATTTTATTTATAAGATATCTATTTTGATTGTGTTGACCAACAAGAATTCGGTAAATAGAAATTTAAAAAATTTTTTTGTGAATTATTGATTTATTATTATCTAATAGGCAACGATGTTGTCAATCAAAATTTAGCAATCAAAGGTCAAGATCATTTATACGATAATAATCTTGTTCAAATATCTACTACTGATCAGTCATGGATCTCGGAGATTTGGTTATCAATACATCGAAGGTATACAAGAATTTTTTTTAAATAAGTCATGATTTTACCAAGAAAGTATTTAGAACTGGTCTTTTACGTCGTTTTCTCAATTGTTTTAATCAATCTAGTGAGCGATCATTAACAAATATAGTTGAAGAATTCGTTCGTATACACGGTGGAAGTTTTAATCATCCCATTGGTTCTCGTGTAAGTCTAATGATCATTAAGAAATTCTTGAGAAACAGAAAGAAAACATCTTTTTAGTTTCATGTATCAGATGCAAACGAGAAATGGCTTCTTATTTTAAAAAATATCAAATGTAAGTAGAACTCAAAAATTTAATTCCTCTTGCATAACGAATCTTCAAAAAGTAACTAGATAGAATGTTAATTTTTCATCTGCAGAAATTCGAAAATATTAGATTAAAATAAGAATTTTATGTCATATTTCAAATATGAGTTCAAAATTCTGCTAGGAATGATAGTTTAAGTGGTATGAGTTAATCTTGTAGAGATTTATAAATTGAATTTGGGCGAACTTCAGCGCACCAAAAAATTACTGAAAATAGAAGCAAAAATTATTTTAAATATAGTGAATGAAATAGAAACCGTTTCTCTACAAAATTGAATAGTTTCCAAGTTCTGCAGGTTTCTTAAACACACTGAAAAATGAATGAATATTTTGTCTAGTTACTTTTCAGTCACCTATTATATTGTTTCTTTTTTTTTCAAGTTGTCAAATATCCAATATATCCATATCCTCAAACACGAATTATTTTAATTCGTAAAGGTGTTTCATTTATAGCAAGATAAAAGTAACATTATAATGAATGTTTTCAAATAAATGCGCGCATTATAACAATTGATGTCTGGTGTTATAATTATTGTAATTATTGGTATTATCTTTATTCTTCTTAGTCTAATTATGAATATTATACAATTAATAAAAATGTATCGAAATGAAAAACAGACAGAATTTTAATGTATTTGAATAGATATAATAATTATAAATATAAATATTGAAATGAATGTACATGCAATTAATATGAAAATTATTTTTCGTTTAATTTTTCGTCGTGTAATGATTTTATGTGCATGAATTGTATGATGTAGAACTATAAGAAAATAGTTTCAAACAAAAAAAAAAAGAAAAGAAAAAAAGAATTTTACTTTCCCGTGCTTGATTTACTGAATGAGATGTTTCAGCTAATGTAATATAAAGTTGACAAATTCTATCATGATGTTCTGTATGTATTATAGTATTAAGTTCATGAAACATTTCATATAAAATATCAATTTGTTTTTCATTTTTCGATAATGGAATATCTTTATTATTAAATGGTTCTTGTTTTTGTTTAATATCTAATAAATTTTTAAAATTATTAATTATTTGAAAAAAAGATATTTGTTGTGGATGAATAATTCGTCGACTTTGATCATCGATTTGACGTAATGAAATTAATTTTTGTTTTGTTTCATTTCGTTTTATTTCATCATGAATATTAACTGGTAAATATTCAGTTAATTGAGTTTGAACACGAATTAATGTTGATTGAAGACAAATATTTAAAAGACGTAAATTATTTATTTCTTGTTGAGCTGTATGAAGTTGAATAGGAACTTGATGTAATATAAGAACTTCTTTTTTTTCAAGAATTTTTGATGTTGTTATTCGATTAGACAGATTTATTTGTTCAGGTACTTCATTAGAATTAGGATTATTATTCATTTAAAAATACAACATTAAATCGAAATAACAGAAAATTTTCTTTACTGCGCAAAAAAAAGGAAATTAGTATTTGATAAGAAAAACTCGACAAAATAGTAGAATATTTAAAAATTATCAGTATGATGAAGATACAAATCATTTTATAGTTATTGATTTGAGCTAAACATTTCTAAAATGTTACAAGTAGAATTAAGCTATTTGTTTATTTTTTCTGATAACAACCTTTGTATATGCTTAGATTATAAAGGACATGTATTTTTATCATACAATTTAGATGGATGAGACGACTCTGAGATCATGTATATATAACAAATGAGAATCTAAAGCAAGAGAGAAAGTGCAGATACATATTTGATATTAGGCTATTAATTATAGTGATAACTATGAGTAACAGTCTTAATAAAGGGTTATCCAAAAGTTTTGATCTTTCTCTGTAAATTTATGCTGTTGATACAAATACATGTATAGATAATTGGTTGAAATATACAGTTATATAGTGAAAAGTTAAAGCTATTATCTAAAAAGGAAATAGTCCAAACTTCATTGAGATCATGAAAGGTGATGTTCCTTTATTGACTACGACTAAATATTTTACATCTTACCCAGATGAACAAAGGACGGGTAAAAAGACTAGTCGCTGTTCTTGTCATAACGGCACGTCTCGTCTAGTCTTTTGTGAGAAAAGGACTAGGCATGTTGTACAATCCTTGAGGTCCGTCCAAAAACATTTGTAAATAAAAAAAAGTGTGGGAGTCCATGACGCTGCATACGAGGAGTTGTAGTCTTATACACTGGTCTGGTCCGGACTAATCTAAATTGAAATATGTAAGGATGAAGGTTAGATTCGAACATGCATATAATATGTCCCTGACCTGTCATTTAGCCGATTGAATTGTACGATCCAGTGATCAACTTATACATATCAATAAACATTCTGAGATGCTATTTAATACAATTTTACTTCGAATTTTTCCAAGGTTTTGTATAAATAAAAAATTTCTATCATAGTATACAAAATTAGAGAGATAAAGTTGAACGAGACTAATTTAGAATTAGTTTTATTTTCTCAAAAAAGATCCTCTAATTGCTGGTATTTCAGAGAAGCTATTTTATATTGAAAAGAAATTAAGTACACAAATAAATTAAAAATAACCTAAATTTCAAAAAAATTAATTTTTTTCGCATTATAGTTGAAGTCTATTTTAATTTTAATTTTCGCTATATGAACTTTAAAATAAACTAAAATTATGTAATTTAAATCTATTTTTAGTTTAAATTATCAGAATTCGTAATTAAAATAAAGTAAACTAATAATAAAAATATACTAAAATTATTTCCAACTTAAATTATTTGTAATTTACGGTAGAGTTTAATTAATTTTACAAAAATACAAATAGGCAACTCTCGTTAAGTACCAAACAGCATACTTTATATTTTCATATGCTGCTTTGTGTTTTAATATAATGTTCTACTTTTAGTATAAAAAACTAGAAATATTTATCCGAATAAGGGCTTGATATACTTGTTGATATGAAGCAGATAAAATTACAAAATAGTACAGAGAATATGCTCAAATATATTAGAATATGATGCGTTACATATGCTACCAATCCTTGACATCACCCTTAATCTTGAAGACCTTTTCTTATTGTCATTTTAGTTAGAGAAAACAGTAACGGCAATAACAATTCACATATATATTGAAAGAAATTAAATAATTGTTACTAATTTTCATACTCGTTATGTGTTATACCATATTCAACTGTCAATTATGAAGAGAAAAACGTGTTTTCAGATGATACTGTATGATTTTGAATATTGGACTTAAGCAGGTTTGAATTCTAAGATTCTGCACAATTTTAAAGCGACTATTTTAATCTGTGGGTGTAGGTGCAGCTATTCTTCTTCAATCACTTACACCGACACCCTATGAGTGTCGGTGTATGTGTGACTGGGGTTGGGATTATTTTATATTCATTCCACACTCACATTCGCATCCAAATACGCCCATACCCTTACGTACATTCATTCACATCCATCCTGACCTTCACAGTTGCATCCATACCGGCACTGAATTTGCAATATACATTGTAGTAAAAATAAAATGTTACTTTTGTTTCTAGTACGTTTTTTTACACCTTAAACTGCATTTGATATTCAATATAAATATACCAAAAGATACAGCACGTTTCGGATTTTCTTGTTCTATATATAGTAATGAATTAATATATAAAAAGACTACAGTGATAAAAACAAAAAAAAATACGAAGGCGATAAATTCAATTCGCCCCCACAGTAGTATTCCTGTTCCAGACTTACAACATACAAAATACTTTTTGAACCTAAGATATTTTTATCGGACTCAAAAGACACTAGACCAGGAGAGAAACAACAGACTCTCGTCTTATGGAGCCCTATGAAATCGTCTTCAACATTTGGAAAGTCCAGTGGAGTAATTTATTACTCTTGTGTCTTAATTTTTCTATCAATTGTAACATGAAACGGAAAGGATGTTAGTCTTCTTTTAGAGACGAAGGTGCATCGCATTAGTCTTATGTGTATGTATCTCATTCATGTATTGTTTTTCTGAAGCCTCTTCAACAGAAAAAATCAATATCTCCCAAAAATGAAAACTCAGATAAACGCTGATGATTATAGTTTCAATCATGCTATACTTTAACAACAATATAATTTTTACATCAACATCGATTTTTTTCGCGCCAAAATTTTGATCATTTCCGTCATCCACTACTGAAAAAGACAGGCTTTTTGTGAAACACAATCTAGAAGAAATACTGAAGTAAAAAAGTAGAAAATCTAGACCTGAACCTCTCGTCCTCGCCCCACACAGACCGTGACACACACATGAATCAGAAACTATCGTAGACCATACCAACATTACAGTATTTTTGTGAAACACAATCTAAAAAGAATATTGAAGTATAAAGGTAGCAAATTTGATCCTTATTCCAGACTCTCACAGACATTAGTGTCCTTTGTTTTGAATAAGCAGATGAATCATGTTTCACATTTTAATCCCACAGGAAGTACACTAACAGCTTTTTTTAGTAAAGACAGAAAGTGTTTTTCATTTTTATTTCAAATCATATGTTCGGTGATGCGTCTCCAGAAGCTTTTTGTTGCAATACGAAACAAAATTAAATCTTTTTTTTTTATCCGAAAGTTCATGCTTCGGTCCAACGACTCTCGTAATCCTTTTTTTTTAAAAGGTTTAAACATAGAAAAAAATCTTTTTCTTACTTGTTACTTTCCTTCAAAAGTTCGCTATTTAAGTAGAATCGCGCATTTTTTCCTCACGATTTCGATCGAATACTCAATCAAACGAGTAGGAAAAAGAAGCAAAGCAAAAAAAGGGCAACAACAGTTGCAAGTCTCAAGTGTTTTCTTTAAAGTAAAAAAACGAGAATTGTCTTTATATCTTAAGGTAGTTGAATGCACTTGGAGATACGATAGATGCCAAATGCCTACCATTACATATACTGAAATTAATTGACCTTCCGCTAGCTAAAAAGACATGAAGCTGGAAAATTTCTAGCGTATAAATTGTCTATCCTCAATCTGTGCACAAAGTCCCAGCTCTATTGAACGTGCTGGCTTCGAGATCCACATTTTGAAGAAAAATAGACGTTAAATGCTTGATCTGTTAACCCTTTGGTTACGGGATTTTTCTAGGAAAAGAAAATTTTCGATTTCTATGAAAAATGCTTCACATAGGATATGTCGATGTATGGTAAGACTATATAATGACGTTACAATTCTGATAGTACCAGAGCACTTTTATAATATAACTAAGTGATGGAATTCTACAAGATAGCTCTCCTTTCACCATTAGCCTGTAATGGACAAGAGTACAATCAGGGTAGTGTTAGGGTACTACAATTAGCGTATTTGCTGCGATAGCATTTCAGGTGATGTCTCAGGAGTGTTGTATTATGCCTCATGAGCAAATGTCTTCTAGTTTATGAATAAAGTATTTTTCCTTAGTAGCACTCGGCATTGTATCACTCTCTCTTGAGAACTGACAGGTTTTGACTTTGCCATGAAGTATGACTTCCGTAGAACA